TTCATGAAATATACATTATTGGCTTATAAAATCTTGTACAAAATTTGATTACTGTATTCATTCGAAAATGCTTTTAGATGATTTCAGGTGTCGCTAAAGGAAATTTCATGAAAATAGGTTTTCAACCGAGCATATATATGAAATCAGTAATGAAAGTCTTTATGCGAAGGCAATTTTGATATAATTAGTCTTGTTAAGAAATTTTTTTAATTTTCAACTCCGTACTACTTTTTTGTCTCGGTAGGATTGAAGACAAAAAAAATTTAAATGTTATAACATCAACATCGTTTTAAAAAATCCTGGCAACATTTTTAAAGGAATTGACATATTTCAATTTTTTGGCAATTTTAATCCTTTTAAATAACTTTTAATGTTAAGTGTACAATTTAAAATACGCAATGCAGTACCTTTCTTCTCTTCTATTTTCGTCTGTCGTAAGATCCAAACCTACTTCTGTCGTTTCATTAGTTACTTCGTTTCTCTTCTGATTCACATACGCATTTTTATCCTTCAGCTAAGTCATAACTGTTTCTTTTTCTTTATAACTCTTAACAAGATCAGCATATGTTGGTACGAAAGTGTTGATTCTATATAATGCAATCTAAATTATTACATCAAATCTACTCGACATTCTCTTAAGCTATGTTACACATTACCAATATATCACATACATACTTTTTATTTTTTTTCCTCGGATGTAGAACCACCCTCTCTTTTCTATTGCAATGCAGATTCAGTGTCGGTATTGACCCTTTTTTTAATCTTTTCATTTTCTTTCTCGTCTTTACTCCTTTTCTTCCTTCAGTTAAATGTATTTCGAATGAACATTCAGTAAAATGTTTTTCACATACTCTAGCTAAAATTCACAAAAATACTAATTCAATTGCAGATCCCAATTTTATAGATGTATGATATGTATAATAATTAGGTTACATTTTTTGAGGTTAGTTTTTGTATTGCCTGCGAAACGTATAGCAAGGCGCTTGCTTTGTTGTATTATTCATCGA